ATGACTTCTTTACTTTTATTAAATTTTTCATGGTACTCCTTTCCATACCTGTTGGAAAAACATAATCTTCGTGATACGAAAAGAGGAAGCACAACTTTCCCAACAAAACTTTGAAGAGTTTCGCTAGAGATTTAATGTCAGTACAGGAGGCAGAACTGTCTATTTCTTTGGATTATACACAAGATTTTTGCTTATTTAAAAAATTTTGCAGTGCTTTATAAGTAGGATGAGTCAGATGAAACTTTCTGTTTAGTGGGCAGATATAAGCATCATATTGTAGAGGAGGGGTACAAGACACATTGCTGGTAAGAGATGCAGGATGTTAAGTGCCATGCCTAAAAAGGAAGTAAATGTTCAGCACCCTTGTGCTGTCTGAAGACAGAAAACACTGTATGTATGGACTGAAAATGTCTCTCATGATCCTGCCAGACCCAGTCTTGTGATTTGGATCATCACAGGTTGTATGTCTATTTCTCGTCACAAGTCTCTGTGCCCAGTGAAAGGTGACCAGCTATGACCCAAACAATGTATGAAGCTCAGAGAAGTATCTCATCTAGCAGAGAAGGAGATCTGAGTCCATGGGACCTGCTGCTGGAGGCTTAGCCAGAACAATGTACCTTCTCTGACTCTAACTGCAATGCCAATGTCTTTCTGGTTGGTTGATTTTGAGCCTTTACCAGTGCTTATGTCCTGGTAATACATTCCCAGCATTTCATCCAATTATTATCAAATAAATAACATCTGAATTGAAGCCTTACATGCTGGACTATAAATTGCAGTTTTGAAAAGATGTGGTTGGGTAGCAGCAGATGAAGACAGCTGCTACTGAAAGCTATTGCTGTGCCAGCATGTACCTGAAGACAAATGCTAGGCACAATGTGTATAAGGTATCTGGTTTTATTTCAGTGACATATGATAGTTTAATGACCTGATCAAGAAGTCACCCTCACAGTGGCATGAGCCAAGGACAAGGTCAATCAGTCAAATGTAGAGGCAATCATATGTTTTAGTATCTTCTCTGACTAAGAATGTGCTTTGCAATCGCAAGGAGTACTCACAACGCTTGGGTAATTTTGCACAGTGTGAGTATACAGCTGCTGGGTTGTTGTTAAGTCTCCCTTGCTCATACACAACTGTGCTGTAAAAGGTGAGGCAGATGGTGAATAGCAGGTGATGATTGCAGGATGTCTAGATAAGCCTCCACAAGACAGACACCTATAACTTTGGACAATGCTATGAAATATATTCTTTAACTTTTAGGTTGCTTGTGAGGATTCAGGAGTCAGATCTGATGATCCTTGTGGGTACCTTCCAGCTTAGGAAATTCTATGATTCTGTGATTCACAGGGGCTGACAGTACATGAGCCAGCCTGTTGTACTATATCACCATTCCAATAGATGGAATACGAAATAAAAAGTAGCTGCATATTTGTTCAGGCACATGAAACTGGTGGGTGTAGTGGTCCAAACACATAGCCTGCTGACACAATTAGAGTCAATGAAAGATGAATAGTGAAATACATGTGGGTAGACCTTAGCAATCTCAAATATGCCAATTAAAAATACCAAAAAAAACCCCAAACAACTCTGGATAAACAATGTTGGGAAAATTACTACTACAGCTGTTTTGGCTAGCTGGGAAATAAGCAGCCTGTTTTACTAGATGAGGGAAGGCTTTTGGCACCTATGGATACTATTAACACTTCCCAGGTACACAGAAATTCATATCTTCTTGCTAGGAGTAAAGTCACCTTAAGAGATAACCATCAGATACTCAAAGAGACAGATAAGTGAGGCTTTCTCAGCACAGGGTGCCTGTGAGTTAGCTCTCCAGGTTTGTATGAAGAAATCTTGGTGTACTACATGATCCCTATGCAAAATGAATCACTTCCTTTAAATGGAAGGTTTAATGTTGCTGCATGTTAAGGGCAGATGGCAACCTCCCCCTGCAGATCGGTGCCCAGCTGAAGAGCTCCAGTTTTGGTGGCTCTTGGCCACAGAGAAGGCAACATTTACACCCCACTGCTCCCTGCTCTGGGTTCTTATCAGCCATGGCATGCCTTTAGGAGTGTTGGAGGCTGGAGTGATTGCAGAGGTGATGACACAGAGGCCAGCCACGGGCTGCACCATTTGTTTTAGTTCTGGAGTCAACTGTGAGGAGTGAAAAGACTAAGGCTCTGAGGCCTGTGGATCATCTGATAGATACTTCTCTTTGGGGGTCTTCCCCTTGTCCAAACATGGCTGCACATAGAGAGGGCACATGCATGAGCTTGTGGCAACAGATCTCTACTTTGCTGGGATGTGCCATGTTTGACAGAGTGGCCTGTGAGTTAGCATGAGGCTGGAGAGCAAGCATTGCTGTTTGCTATCAACAAACCTTAGTAAAGTGCCTGTAATTACAGTGTTAGAAGGTTGGCCAGGCCTAGATGGTAGCAGGGAAGGAAAATAATGCTTTCTTTCATCTGTTCTTGCAAACAGCTGGAGACAGATAAAAGTGGAGGCAGTTTTAACCTAAGCAAAGATTGTGGCCCTGTATTTTCCTTTGGTCCTTGGTGCTTTCTGTTTTCCTCCTTAGTTACATTTGCAAATGAGACTATGCATGCGGCTGCTTCTGAATGCTTTTTCTTTTTTTTCTCTTCCTGTTTTTTTTTCTTTTCCTGTTTTTCTTTAATTTAAAGAGATACCTATTTCTCCTCAAACTCAACTTCTGTGACTGCCTCTGCTTCAGCAGTACACAAGGACAAGTCTCTGTGCTTCCTTCTGCCTGCCTGCTCCTCACAACTTCCAGAGCTCTGACACAAAGACAAAACAAGCATCTTCCACAACTAACCATCTCTGAGGGAATGTTTTGCCATAGCATGGTTGATATGAAACTGTCCTGAAGCAATGATTTTCAGATTTTCCAATAACAGGATACACTGGCATAAGATAGAGAAAAGGAACTGTTATCTTAAAAACAAAGACCTTTTGTCACTTCTTCCAGAGCAAGTTTTCAAATTCTAGCATTCAGAGTCAGTAGTAATTTACACAGACATTAATGAGAATTACTTATCCAACTAAGTTCCCCATATAATGCTTTGAAACTGTAGAAACTGAACCATGCTGCACCTAATTTGATTTCTTGGACAGATGTTTTGGTACTGCAGGAAAATGTTGCTTTGATAGACTTTTCAGTTGTTCTAATTCTGCAAGTCATACCGACCCAATAATGAATAGCTCCATCAGGGTGACTCTTGCAGGCACATAGGCTCATCTGCATAAGGAGTTACTTCAGATCAGCTTTTCCTGATTAAATCTGCTGTGGGTATTATTGCAACAGAAAGAGATGTTCTGTTGTAAAACCTGTAGTAAAACACACTTTCCTTCTGTTAATTGCAATCTTTGATGACTCTGTATATTTTCTGAAGGGATAAAGAATAAATATTACTTCAGATGTATTTTTACTGTACCATGTATTTTCCACAAATCTTACTGCTTTCCTTCAAAAAGTAAGGACTATTTGAAACACATTACAAGCTATTGCCTACAGACTTCTCAGGTATGCTT